GGTCACATTCACTGTCCTAGCTGGGCAGCACCTGCCTACTCCCTCCCTCACCGTGGGGGCCTCTTTTCTTGCCCCTTCCCCCACACAAACTTACTGGCAGGATGCGGCTTTCTAAGCTTCCAGACTGCATTCCTTTAAAACGGCTATTCAGTTGATATTGGCTGATACCAATGGCCAATTATTAAGCAGCCATATTGGCCAAGAAAATCTTTCAGTGCACCCCTGTTCTTTACATGATGCAAGGACCTAGTTATAGATCAAGCACAGACTATTTGAAAAATGAGATGTGCCAGTGCTTGCCGCAACTGATTCTTTAAAATGAAAAAGGCAGAACAACATAGAATGTCTGCTGCAGCCTGTCCCTGGCTTTAACAGGGCACCATTTAGACTTGTGTGTGGTCAGTTTGGGCATACATCTTGGGCTCAAAGAAAAATGAAAGGAGGCAGCACTCAGATTTTCCAGGGTTACAATTTTGAGAGATTTCTTATAGTTGGTTACAACCGTACTTTTATTCTCAGCCAGTGGTAGAACTGCTGCCGCGTGTTCTTCAAACTGGTCTGCATTTTTCTTCTATCTTTTTGCCAAATGATGTTTTAGCAGCATTGTATGCGTTAGTCTTTGACTGAAACTCTGTGATGATATTCAGAAAGCAACTGATGTAGGAGATGGCTGAGGAATATATAAAGGCACCAAACAAGCAATTGGTCCAGTCAAGGAAGATGGCTCCGCTGAAAGACTTAAATAGAAATGTCATTACTGATAAAAACAACTTGAGCATTGGCTTGAACACTATGGAATTCTGTATTCAGTGTTTGATTTCAGTTTCACTGACTAGCTTGAAGAATTACCACATTTTGAAGTTATGATGGATTTGGACAACAAACCTATATTAGAAGATTTGCGGAAAGCCATTAAATCGAGTCCTGGGAACAAGGCATCTGGCAGAGACCTTTTGCCTGCTGGAATCTACAACTGTGCCAACAATTAATTACTTTGAAAGCTTCATGATGTTATATAGTACTCTGGAAAGAAGTGCAATTATACAAAAATAAAAGGGCTAGAAGTGACTGACGACCACTGAGGCATCTCCCTGTTGAACATCATTGAAAATGTTGTCACTTGCATCATATTACCTAGGTTGCAATCTCTAGGGGTGTCTGTACACGAGCATGGAGGCTGCTCTGACATGCTGTAATTCCAGCATGTCAGAGCAGTTTGCTGGAGTGTAGTAATTACTTCCTTGTTGAACAAGCTTTAGTTGTACCCCTGCTGCCAGAACTAGCCTAGGGGTGTGCAGGGCCCGGGGCATATCAGCTTGTGCGGGGGAGGGTGGTGGGCGACCGGAGTGCAAAGCCGTCAGCGGCTGCGCTGAGTGGTGATGTCCACAGAGCCCCTGAAAGCGCAGGGCCTGGGGTGGTCACCCCGATTCGCTTCAACAACAGGTTGAAACGGGTGTGTTTTAGCCCCCATGCTTTTTAACATCTGTTTCATTTCTGCTTCATGGATTTATTTATGTTTCTTCATGCATTCATGAACTGCAACAATGGCTCTTATCTTCAAACCAGACTAGATGGAGGCTTGTTTAACATGTCAAGGCTTAGAGCAAAAACCAAGGTAAAAGAACTGGTACTGAGAGACTTCCTGGTCACAGATGACATCGCAAGATGCCTTGGTTGACCACAGTGAATCTGCCCTGCAAAATCTCTTTGGTAGATATTGAGTCATGCAAGAGCTTTGGGATGGCAGTTAGTCTCAAGAAGACTGATACCAAGGGGTGGAAGAACCAATGTCATCACTTGAACAGTGGTTTTCAACCTGTGGTCTGTGGACCTCTGGTGGTCCACAGACTGTCTAAGGAGTCTGTTAAAGATTACTATGATCACTCGAAAGTGTGAATACTCAAAAAGGAATCGGCATCTCTATTCAAAACTTCCAAAGTGGCCTGCACCTCCATATGTTTAAGGGTCTGCCTGTGAAAAATGGTTGAAAACCACTGCTCTGGAGGATAAATCTTTTGGTGTCACTGACAGTTTTTGCTGTCTGGATTCTACAATCAGCAGATCAGCAGGAATCCTGACCTTCAGACTGAACTAACAGAATCGGAGAAATAGCTAAGAATTTTGGGCTGTTACAGAACTGTGCGTGGAATAACAGCAGACTGTCAGCTAAGGTGAAGATGTGAATCAACAAGACTTGTGTGCTGTCGCCTCTACTTCGTGGTTCAGAAATGTGGACCATGTACGCTAAGCACATCAAGAGACTGAACAGCTTCCACAAGATATCTGTATAAGATCCTGAAAATAAGGTAGGAAGACAGAATACCAAACACAGAGGTACTGGAGGGCACAGGACTGACGTACTTAGAGACCACTACCAAGAAGAGGAAGTTGCAATGGATGGGCTGTTGGGAGAATGGGAGGAGACTCGTATTACAAAACTATTCTGTACGGCAAGATTTGAGACTGTTCTAGAAAGTGGGGTTACTCTTTATGGCAGTACCACGATGTGTGCAAAAATTATACGAAGTCGTTCATCGACATAGAAAGCTGGGGAATGCATGCAGAATCCTGTCTGATCTGGAAGGAACATCTTGGCACTGGGTGCAGCTCAACATGCAGCAGCTTTGATCCAGAGGATGGAAGCAAAGCAAAAAAGAAGAAAGCAGCATGCTGTAAATTTGGACTCCAACATGGACAGCACACAGATCTGTGAAATTTGTAACAATCTGTGTTGCTCTCAAATTGGGCCTGTCAGCCACAAATGGATTCATCAGGCATCTGGCTAGACCTTTTACATGTATGTCATGATCCAGAGGAGTGATAGTTGCCTATAATATGGTCAGCTCCACTGCACTGAAATGTTATTAAAAGAGACTACTTTTCCCCTTTAAAATTGTCCCCAAATAGAATTCTTGTTGAAAAAGTATTCAAAAGCTAGCTACCCTCTGCTTTTGTCAGGATACCACTTGGGTGGGAAGACAGCATTTTGTTTGCTTGTAGATATAGCCACTACAGCTCGGCTTGGCTTCCAAAGCCTTCTGAAAACTGCAGTAGCACATGCAATTCCCAGTTAGGAAGCTTGGAGTGAGTGTTTTGCATATGCTGTGTCCCTCTAACATAAGATGGGCAGACACAATATAGAAAGATGATCATGGAAAGCATATAGTAAGTATCAAGACAGATATGTTGGGCTGGATTTTTTTTTGTTCAAGCCAAGATGTACTTGGTACAGAAACAAATACAGGTATGGAAATGTGACTTCAAAATTTATTTACATTATCGGTTTTCTCAACTCTGCGTGGGATACTACTTGGCCCATCGCACAAGTCAGAGCAACCTTAGGACTGGACTGTTCAAAATCTAATAGAATACTACAGCTCGTTGTTCTCCATTTTCCTTTCCTTGATGCTTTTTATATTCTGAGCCAAATCTAAATTTTATTCTTAGGATCTTCAAAGATTCTCAGCACTCCTTACAGAGACAGAAAACTGGTTGTATGAGGAGGGAGAAGACCAAGCTAAACAGGTGTACCTAGACAAATTGGATGACTTAAAGGTAGGTACATTTTGCATGCTTATAAATTTGTATCTTCTGAAGTGCAGCAGGAACAAATTTTATTAAGTGTGGATGTGAAGTATAGAATTAATAGAAAGTCTTAATACTTCAGAAACTAGGTACCCCAATTGAAGTGCGGTATCAAGAAGCTGAAGAACGTCCAAAGATATTGGAAGAACTGGGGCGCAAGCTTCAAAATTATGCCACGATAGCAGGAGAATACAGAAATAAGGTGAGTAACTTCACTAGTAAAGAGGTAGACTTCCTTTTGTCAGGCTGTATTTTAGAGGCACAGAAAATGAGTGGACAGCTGCCTTAGCCTTTGTTGTACCACAGATGCCCAAAATTATAAGTGCGACAATTCCTAGTCCTAGTTCGTGCTGTCTTCACAGCCAATGTCTGTTTGCTTATGGTGGGAGAGTGTGGGCAGCCCAGGGCTGCCCGTGCTTTCCAGCTGCTTTTAAATAAGTACTCCTAGGGCTTCAGGGGCCTGATCCTGTGTGCTCTGGGAATCCCACTGCAAGCTTTTCTTACTGCTGGGCCCCAGGTCAGGGTGTTACTCTGCAAGCACAGGGTGGGTGATGTCTTAGTTGCATTGTGGGGTCAGCTTCCATGGCTGTTTGTCCTGCAAGGTCATGCCTGTAGAGCTGCAGGAACCCAGCCTTGTGGGGAAAAAAGCACAGTGATGTCTGTAGATGCCAGTGGAGTGGGGTCAGCTGTGCTGGTATGTGTCCTGGCATAGCTGACTTTCTTTAAGTAAATATCATCTGTTTATATACACTTAGGATGCTGACAAGCGTGGGGCTGGGGGAATGCTGTTTAACGGAAGCAGTAGCCTGTTGCCTCAACCTGGCTCCACAGCGTCCATGTAGATTGGGTGCTTCAGTGGAGCTTTTTTGGTGGTTTTAGCTAAAGCTCATTCAATCAGCTATTAAATAAAGCACCACTTTTTTTCCACATCTGTAAACAGCCTTAGACTCTTAACATATGAAAGGGGTATAATACTTGCTCTTCATTCTGCTCTTAAGGCTACTGTGCCATAATACTGTTATGACCAGAAACTACTTCTCCACAGCAAGTCTAATCTTTAATTGCTCACATGTCTTTCAAAAGGCTTAAGAGTAAAAACTTAGGTTAATGTCATGTGGTCCAGATGTGAGATGCATGGAGTAATGTATCCACGAAGGATAATGTCTGCTGTTAGATCAAAACTTGCATAATATTTGAAGACCCAAATCCTCCAGCCAAAATGTGTGTGATGGGTATCTCTCTTCTCCCTCTGTTGCCACTGGCTGCAGTATCACCCACAGATCCTAGGGCAGGGGCTTCTAGAGCATCTTCCAGCCTGCCTGGTTTATGAAAACACAAGCTGCAGAAAGTCATCATGACACTGAGTAGCTCCATCTGGCATTATCTTTCCTCTGCTGTAGCCCAACAGTACTGGATCAGCTGGGTTTTTGAACATGTATAGAGGAAAGGCCAGGATTTGCCTGTACAACACATGCATAAGGAATATGTTCACTGAGAAACATACTTGCAAAACCTCACAGAGGAAGTTTGAGATGCAAAATGTCTGAAGCTGCTTCATTGTTTTTTTGGTTTTTTTTGTAGGATGAGAAGTTCAGCCACATTGATGAAACAGAAATAATGAAAGTAGAGAAGTGTGCTGGTGAAGTGCTGGAGTGGATGAATAATGTTGTGAATGCACAGGCTAAAAAGAGCCTTAATCAGGATCCAGTTGTACATTCAAGTGAAATCAAAGCAAAGCTAAAGGTAAGTGTAGAAGGAAATTAATTCCAGGGCCTAGAGATATACAGCCAGGCCATAATCTAGAGTGCATGGTCTCAGATATGCTTCTATCAGTTAGAAGCAAAGAGAGTAATTTGGAGAATCTGAGTAGCTCCAGGTGGGAGTGGGTCACAAGAAGCAAGGAAGATTACATAGATTGTTAAAAACAACACTTTGGAGGTAGAGTATGCCTAGATTGCATCTGTCTAACCCTGTGTTTTAAATATAGCTTTTAGCCAGATTTAGAAGTTAAAACTTCTTTACACAATTGGCGAACCCAATATAGCAAAGCATTATTTATACTCTGTGCCAAAGAGTCTTATAGAGGAAGATGGTTAATGTAGTGCACAGTGTTAAGCATCTCCACCCTCACTGGGCACAGGAAGCCTGATTCAGACATTTGAAAACGCAGTTTGCTTTTTTTAAACAGTGGGGCTGGGTCACTTGAGCCTCCTGATCAAGTAAAGTACACAGAGTGCCTTTTTTATCATAGGCGTTAACCAACATATGTGAGCCTGTTGTGACGCAGCCAAAACCAAAAGTTGACTCTCCTAAGGAAGAAAATCCATTGAATGGACCTGGTGACTTTAAAAGTGAAGAGCTGGAAGAAGATAAAAATGCTGAAATACCTCAGCAGAATGGTGAATGCCATCCTAGTGACCAGACCACCACTAGCATGGACCTGGACTAGACCATGCATTGCATTGAACAGTTTCATCTCATGAAAGAAATTTTTTTTTTTTTTTCCAGTAGTAGGGGATATGGGAGGAAAACATGCAGTCTTGAACTATTTATATTTTTTTTTTCTTTAAATTGTCTGAACTTTGTTGTATTATGGAGGTGGGGAACAATAGCCGTCATCATGATTATCCTAAAAGGAAAATTGCCTTGGTAACTTTCAGATTCCTGTGGAATTGTAAATTCATACAAAGCTTCTGTGCAGTATTTAGCCATTTGCACCACTAAGGATGAAATCTTGCTATGAAATGTCCTGTTCTTTTTCAGAAGGTTGGAACTAAAACCTTGTGTCGATGTTTATAGATGCCAAGGTAGTTTTCTTTCATCTTGACGTCTAATTCAGTATGTCTGTAAGAAGCCAATGTCTGTTCCATTCATAAAGGCTTTTCAAAATATTTTTTATTTTATTCTTTCTTTTTCAAAGTCTGAAATGCTTGCTGGATATTGAGATGGTGAAACATGGTAAGTAGCATGCACAAATGCTTTGCTTTTGTCTCTTGCTGAAAAGAACATTTTCATGTGGAGAAAGCAAAATGAAAGAAATGTTGATCCTGTCATTGTGAAGCCTTTTAATGAGCTTTTAAAATAAAGTTCATCTAAATGGTATTTCTGAAACGTTGGTTTTGACTGTGTTCGGTATCTGCTGCCTTTTTGTTATAACTAGTAAAACAGTTGAGAATAGCTGCATCACAATTTTTCCCAGCAAGTATTCAGATGCTTGGTATGAAAGAACTACCGGAATGTGCCCTAACCAGGGCCATTGCTCTTACTGTCTCTTAAAACTGCACAACGTAGAGCGCACCTGTGAACTACAGAAATAATGGAAAGAGCAACTCGCATCGTCAAGAATTAGCTTTGGGGCAGAGGAAGGGCAGGCAGAGGCACTGTGGGTCAAACTTCAAGGGGGGCAAGGCAAAAGGGATCTTACGGTGGGTGTCTACTACAGACCACCCTGGGTTGAGCTGGACCAGGATTTCTCAGTACAGCTTATGGAAGCCATTAGGGCTAGGGATGTCATTGTCATGGGGGACCTAAACTACCCAAACATCTGCTGGGAGGAGCAATCAGCTAGGTCTGACCATTTGCATAGGTTCCTAGCTGAAATATAGGACCTCCACCTTATCCAGGAGGTGCACAGCCGCACTAGCAGAGATGCCTTGCTGGACCTGGTCTTGGCCACTGGGGATGACCTGGTGAGGGGACTACAGGTCCTTGACCACCTGGGTGACAGTGATCATCGCCTGCTGGAATTCACCATCCAGCGCAGGGTGTTGAGGGCTTATACCAAGACTAAAGCCCCTGACTTCAGAAGGGCCAATTTCAACGAACTTAGGAGATTAGTGGGGGAGGCACCGAGGGCTCAAAAGGTAGAGAATATGGGAGTCCATGAGGGATGGTTGCACCTTAAGGGGGCGATCCTCCAGGCTCAGAGTGTGACAGTCCCCGAGAGAAAGAAGGGGGGTAAGAGTGCTCTGAAACCCCCATGGCTCAAAGGCATTCGAGAATGCCTGAGGGCCAAAAGGGAGGTGTACACCTGGTGGAAGGGAGGGGCTATCACCAAGGAGGAATACTCCTCCTTGGCCTGTGAGTGTAGGAGGGCTGTTAGGAAGGCCAAGGCAGGGGTGGAGCTCAGGCTAGTGACCAGGATTAAGGACAACAAAAAGTCCTCCTTCAAATATATTGGGAGTAAGAAGAAGGCACTGGGTAATGTAGGGCCCCTGCTAGACTCAAATGGTAATCTTGTGGCTACGCTAGACAAGAAAGCCGACCTTTTTAACAAGTTCTTTGCCTCTGTCTTCTTGGACAGGGACCAGGACAGCTGTCCCACCACAGGTAGGCGCACCCAGAGAATGGTGGTGGACGGGTCATACTCAACCTGGCAGGATGTGAATAGTGGGGTCCCCCAGGGCTCTGTCCTGGGGCCTACTCTGTTTAACATCTTCATCAGCGACTTGGATGAGGGGTGGAAAATAAGTTGTCCAAGTTTGCTGATGACACCAAGATGTGGGGAGAGGTAGGCATGCTTGAAGGGAGAGAGAGCTGCAATTAGACTACAGAAGTGGGCGGATGATAATAGGATGGGGTTCAATGTAGATAAATGCAGGGTGCTACACCTGGGGAGAAGGAATCCACAGCATACTTACAAGCTGGGGAGCTCCCCCCTTGTGAGCACAGAGGCGGAAAGGGATCTCGGAGTCATTATTGACTCCAAGATGAATATGAACTGCCCATGTCAGACCGCAGCCAGCAAAGGCAACTGCACCTTGTCATACATCCAAAGATGCATTTCAAGCCAGTTCAGAGGGGTGATATTCCCCCTCTATGCAACATTGGCCAGGCCACAATTGGAGTATTGTGTCCAGTTCACTGCCCATGTCAGACCGCAGCCAGCAAAGGCAACTGCACCTTGTCATACATCCAAAGATGCATTTCAAGCCAGTTCAGAGGGGTGATATTCCCCCTCTATGCAACATTGGCCAGGCCACAATTGGAGTATTGTGTCCAGTTCTGGGCACTGCACTTCAAAAGGGATGTGGCCAGCCTTGAGAGGGTTCAGAGGAGGGCCACCCACTTGGTTGGAGGGCAACAGGGCAGGCCCTATGAGGAGAGGCTGAGGGACCTGAACATGTTCAGCCTCAGCAAGCAGAGGCTGAGGAGAGATTTGGGGGCTGCCCACAAACTCGTTAGGGGAGCTCAGCAGCAAACAGGAAGGGCCCTATTCCCCCCAGCAGCACCTGGGGTGACAAGGAACAATGGCCAGAAGCTGCCGGAGAATAGGTTCAGGCTGGAGATTAGGAGGCAATATTTCATTGTTAGGGTGGCTAAGATCTGGAACCAACTTCCTAGGGAAGTGGTCCTCGCTCCTCTCCTACCTTGGGTAAATTTGAAAAGAAGCTGGACAAACACCTGTCTGGGGTCATGTGATCCCAGCGTGTGCTCCTGCCAGTGGCGGGTGGTCAGACTAGATCTGTTCAGGTCCCTTCTGACCCCAAGCTACTATGAATTTTGATAGTTACCCCATTATTTTTTTTGTACCAAACCTGATTGGTTGCAGCTGCACAAAAGCTAGTGTAATCTTCAGTCATTTTAACAATATCAAGGAGTCCTTATTATAAAAGCATGTCTATTTAAAAAGATTTTGTTCCAGTTTAACAGTTCACTTGAGTGATTATTTGGAATGCCAAGTGTATGGTCAGCACCATTTAGAAAGAGAGAAAAGGTCTTTGCGGAGCCTACAGTGCAACAAATTAAACACTAGAACAGTAAAGGTTGGAAAAGGTAAAAGGAGTTATTTAAAATATCTATAGGACTTAAAACAAAAACAATTAGTTCTTAGACTAATTCTCCAAACCACTAGGAATAAGCTTTGCTACCATTAAAGTGATATGATGTTTTGTACTCAGTCACCTACAGGAAGCTATTGCTTCAGTTTTCCCCTAACCATTCTTTATAAAATAAGTCGGTACCAAGAACAGATACATCAGGCTTTTCACAAATTGTTGCAGTGCTGACCATTTCATAATAGTTGATAGTACGGTAAGGACTCAGTCCCCCATGCTTAAGTGGTCTGGTTAAATTCTTGAACAGCTCATGCTTCACACTGGGGAGAGGAAAGAATAAAAGCATGAATTAGTAATTCTGCTATGTATAATTTAGGGCCTAATCTAGGTATCTATATAGCAAACACAGCAAAAACATAAATGTGTGGCCTTGCTTTCAGTTTTACCTTTTGCCCACAGCTTCTGTGCAAGACCATTTGTCAACTTCCTCTTTGATATCTGCATCTGTAATGGTAACTTGAGAGAGCTTATGGTTGTAGCTCCCCTCATGCTAAAATACATAAAGGAGAAGACAAATACAAGATTTATTTAGTCTCCTGATAGACTTGGTCTCTGCTGTGGTGGGTCCTAGAGAAGTCCTATTACTGTTTGGGTTGCTTTACAGAATTTACCTATTTAAACACTGGAGAAAAATACACTTGCTCTAATTTGCATTTGAAATGTGAACTGCATGCCTTGAACACAAATTTATTACATTTACTAGGAAATATCTCTTTAAATTCTACTGTAAAATCCCAACTATTTTGTGAAGTCTGTTATTAGGAAGAAGAGTATGTATTTAGTGAACAAATACTGAACAGTAGTGCTACTTGGAACATGCTGTAGATCAGGGGTTTTCAACCTTTTTCGAGCATTGTATCCCCAGGTGGCCGAACATGGAGTGTACCTGTAGAGGCCGAGTGTGCATGTGTGTTTGGGGGAGGAGGGGGGTGACATGCAGCTGGACACTGAACAGGGGTGAGGGGGTGGGCATGGCATGCAGCGGGATGCAGAGCGGTGGCAGCTGGCATGTGCAGGCTTTCCCCCGTCTTCCCCACATCTGGCCACATGCCTCTGTATAGTGGGGGAAGCTGGCATGCGGCAGCTGCCCATGAATACCTCCTAGGGCAGGGGTGGGCAAAATATGGCCTGCAGGCCGGATCTGGCCTGCCAAGCACTTCCTTCCAGCCTGCAGAGCCCCTTCAAAACCCACAATGGTGGCTGCCTCTCTCAAAGCCTCTGGCGGCACCAGCTGCAGCACCTCGGGCTGCTTCCTTGGGTTCTGGTTGCAAGGTAACCAACCCTGACCTCAGCCTGCCGCAGCTGGCCTTGCCCCACCTCTGGCTCAGGCACGTTTTCAGCTTGAGAGGGGCAGGGGGGGCTGGCCCAGAACCTGGGGCACCATTGAGGGGAAACAGTGTCTGGGCCAGCTTCTGCTTTGCTGCATGGGACTGGAAAGGGCCCTGCCCTGCAGGTAAGCCCAGGAAAGTGGTTGCTGGGCAGGCTTTCCCCATGCTGTGCTGCTTGGGCTGTGCAGGGTCGGGTTGGGCTGGGACTGGGGAGGGGAACCAGCAGCTAGGCCACAGCTCTGGCCTAGTCAGCACCAGGGAGGAGAGGTGGCAGCGGAGCCGTGTGCTGCTCGGGACAGGATGAGCCCAGCTGGAGCTGCAGGGGCTCAACTACATTTTCCCTCTACCTGCTCTGGTCAGTCCTGAGCAGCACACAGCTCTACCACTACTTCTGCTGGCCAATGCCGACCCAGCTGGGTTCACCCCATCCCCAGCAGCATGTGGGAAGCTGGCTTCAGCTGCATGCTGCTCGGGATGGGATGGACCTGCCCAGGTCTGCACCAGCCAGGAAAGGCAGCATGCAGCTGAAGTTGGCTCCTTGCATGCTGCTGGGGGTGGGAGGAGCCTGGCCGGGTCTGCACCAGCCAGCAGAATGGGCAGCAGAGCTGTGTGCTGCTCGGGACAGGACGAACCTGGCCGGAGCGGCAAAGGCTCAGCTGCATTTTCCCCCTGCCTGCACCAGTCAGTCCCGAGCGGCGCACAGCTCCGCTGCCACTTCTGCTGGCTGGTGCAAACCTGGCTGGGCCTGTCCCATCTGGGGCAGCATGCGGCTGAAGCCAGCTTCCCATGTGCTGCTGGGGACAGGGTAAGCCCAACTGCGTCGGCACTGGCCAGCAGAAGCAGCAGGGGAGCTGCCTCGTTTTGGGACCAGCTGGCACAGGTAGGGGGAAAGTGCAGCAGCACCTGGGGAAGCCACTGCTTGATAGGGGACTGGGTGGGCTGGCTGGGCCTCACCAGGGAGGGAAAGCTGTGGCTGAGCCCCCCTGTGGCTTGGAACAGGAGGGGGTCCTACAGCACTAGAGGTGAGGGGACCTGGGCCTGGGCTGGCTTCTGTTGTGCTGGGACGGGGGCTGGGATGGGTCAGGACCAGGTCATACTGGCGCCAGTGATGGATGGAGGTTGGCCAGCTTTTGATGCCTGGGGCCTGATGGGGTGGGCTGGGTCCTTGCTTGTGGGAAGGGTCTGGTGACCAGTACTGGTCAGGGGAAGGGAAGCTGGGGCAGGATGTTAGAGGGGTCACAACCCCTTGATACCTGGTAAATTGTGCAAGGGGAGGGACTTCTGGTGGCAAAAGGTCAGGGGGCAGGACTTCTGGTCCCAAGATTGTGACGAGGGGGTTGGGCAACTGAAGGGACAGGGCTACCCATGCAGCCCTTGACAGCTTGCCAAAACTCATCAAGTGGCCCTCTGCCCGAAATAATTTCCCACCTCTGTCCTAGGGCCTGGTCTAGTACCCATGGGGGTACTTATACCCTCAGTTGACAACCCCTGCTGTAGATCATCATCAATACCAGGGTGTAGTGTGTGTAGACTGAATTTAACTACAATGCACACTTAAGCTGCTTAACATTTTAACTGTGGATAAAGTCTGAACTTTCCTTCTTGTATCATAATACTAATCAAATAAAAAAACAAGTCTTACTAGACAACCAGGAAGACTAAGGGATCTGGAACTGTTCAGTCTGGGGAAGAGAAGACTGAGGGGGGTGGGGACCTGGTGACTATTTAAAAGTATGTAAGGGGTGAATATAAAGCATGGGGAGAAAAATGGTTCACTAGGATGCCCCAAGGGAGGACAAGGAGCAATAACCATAAACTGTTAGAAGATGGTTTCAGGTTGGATGCAAGGAAAAACTTCTTTGTGGTAAGGGTGACCAGAATCCGGAAGATTTCCCAGGGAGGTGGTGCAGTCCCCAACCCTGGAAGTCATCAAGAAGAGACTGGACAGACACCTTGTTAGGATTACTTGATCTCAGCGGTAGAGGGATTGGACTCTATAGTCTTCTGAGGTCTCTTCCAGTCCTTAATTTCTATGGTTCTATGACTTACAAATTGATTTTTTTTTTTTTTTTTTATTATTAAGCAAAGCCTTCTGTACCACACTTTCCAAACACCAGTCTTGCTAAAGTTAAGAGATTCAGCTTCTTTTGCTTTTGTATATAGTGGGATTGAGAAATAATTACTTTTACAACACCAAAGGAAAAGTTACTGTAAAAACATAGAGCATATATAGAAACTACTGAAAAGTGTATTGCAGTTATTGTTAGCTAGGGCACCATGTAATCTTTAGAAGCTGTGAGCTCTACCCCCTGGGGTGCTGTAATACAGATGCTACTGCCACAGTGGCAGAAGCTAGTTCAATCTATCCTGTGCATGCTTCTACTGGATTAGGACGCTGGTCAGCCTGCAGCAGCCTTTCCTGATCCAGCCCCTCCCACACACCTGGAAACAAGAGCACAGGACTGTGTCTGCTGCTAGGAAAGGCCAAAGTAAAAGAACAGAATGAGTTGGTGCCTGCCTGCTTTAGGCTTATCACAGCCCTAATGCAGGAGTGCATACCCATGCCACAGCCCTTCCCAACCTGGCTGTGCAACTGATGCACAAGGCAGTTCTTTCTTGAAGGAGCAACACCCAGTGGGGAAGTACTGAGGGGAGCAGAGGCAGCACCAACAGTGGTTCTCAAGCAGGGATGCTGTTACCTTCAGAATAGTGGTAGAGGGGGGACCTGAGAACCACCGGTATATTAAAGAGGGAATGGTGTGATTATGGCATCTTGTTACAGCTCCAAGTTCAAGCTTTACCCTAGGTTCAAGCCAAATGCACTACTTCCCAGAAGCTAAGAGCAATCTTAGAACCTAATTCCTAAAATGACAAAATCAAGTTGATCTACCTCTGCTCAGCAGCAGGCTGATCCTGAAAATGGAAGCACCAATAGTCCTGAGCTATTTAAGTTTTTAGCCACTTAAGTACCAGCTGCTCAGCTACTATGAGTAGGGTTTCTTCCATAGTTTCATAATTGTTAGGGACTGGAAGGGACGTGACAGATCATCAGGTGCAGACCCCCTACACTTGAGCAGGAAAGACTGCTGTGATCAGATGACGCCAGCAAGAGAGGCATCAAGATGCTTTTTGAAAATTGCTAGGGTAGATGACTGTACCCCTCTGAGGGGAGCCTGTTCCAAACTCTCCGCACTCTACTTGTAAAGAAGTTTTTCCTTATGTCTATCTTGAAGCAATCTTCAACCAGTTTGTGCCCTTTATTTCTTGTCGTCTTCTAGGTGGCCTTGGTGATTAGATGCTCCCTCAAGCCCTGATGTATGCCCCTAATATACTTATAGGCTGCTAACAAGTCTTTGCCCTCCTAGTCTGTTTTTCTTTTCCAGGCTGAACAGTCCCAAGCCCTTCAGCCTCTCCTTGTATGACTTGGACTCCAGGCCTCCAATCATGTGTGGCCCTCCTCTGGACTCTTTCAAGCTTCTCCCCATCCTTGAAGTGCAGCACCCAGAACTGGATGCAGTACACCACCAAGGCCAAGTGGAGCAGGAGGATGACATCCTTTGCCTTGCTTGAGATGTCTCAGTGGATGCATGCCAGCGTTTGATTAGCTCTGCCAGCTACAGCATTGCATTGGTGGCTCATATTCACTTTGTTGTCAGTCATGACACCCCCGTCTTCGTCAGTTGTGGTACTAGCAAGCATAGCACTGCTGAGCCTGTAAGGGTGTTGCGGATTATTTCTCCCCAGATGGAGCACTGTCATTTAATACAGAAAAATGTATATCAGGTTGAGGTCCGCCTACCTCACAAGCCTGTCCAGGTCAGCCTGTATTGCCAACCTGTCTTTGAGTGTGACCACACTCCCCCATAGTTTGGTGTTGTCAGCAAATTTTGCCAGTTTCTTTATAATACCCGAATCAAAATTGGTGCTGAACATGTTGAAGATCACTGATCTGAGTTGATTAATGTTAAAAATCAAGCCAAGAACTGCTCCCTGTGAGAGACTGCTACAACTCCATCTACTCAATGGACTGTTCCTGTTTACAATTATAGATTGACACCTATCAGTTAACCAGTATTTAATGTGTCCCTTGCTGAATTTGTATCCAAGGTCTCTTCACCAACATATTGTATCAAGGCAAATGCCTCACAAAGACATGTGCATCATCATAGCTGCATCTTGCTTTGCTAGAGAATAAGAAGAGGAACCACATTCTTAACACAGGAAACTGTTGCTATCTATACACAAACCTTAGATAAAGAGTTCTCTCGAGCTGCATCATTTTGGTCTGAGCTTATGATTTGCCAGACAGAAGTTTCGCCTCCCAACACTGGATGATGGGGCATGCTTTGGGGATCTATCAGAATTTCAAAGGGCACCATGGGATGTTTCCAGGAGGCAGGAGTACAAATTTCCCAAGGTTCTTCTTGGCCAAAAGTCCCTAAAAAGGGGGGGGGGGGAATATGAGAATGAGACATGCATATTATGCTTCAAAGTGCACAGCCATAGACCTGTACAGAAGTTAACAGGTTGCAACTAGAGCTGGTGAAGAGTTTTCCAACAGATGGTTTTTCTTCAGAAAAATGCTCATTTGATACAAATCAAAATGGTGCATCTCCATTTCAATCAAGCTTTTGTTGGCAAAGATTGGATGGCTTCAGAAGGGATAGCCAATAGCTTGATAGTCACGTTACTACCAGAACCTTAGAGACCTAGGTTCAAGGCCCTACTGTACTTGACCTCTGGTCTCATGAATAATTATGTAGAAAAAGAAGAACATCTCCAATAAGAAAGACTGAGAGAAGCTGATTGTTGAGCCAGCAGACAAGCCAAACACCAGGCAGTGCAAGACTGAACTTAGCTCTTACATTAAGAAATGAATACTTTTCCCACCAGATCCTGATCTACTTGTGTGCACATGCCTTTGTTTCATAAAAACCCTCCCAAGTTGGGAGGGGTGGTGGCAGAGCCATTTCTGCCGAGCTTTTAAGGCTTGATTCTCTTGGAAAATTTTCCTTTTTTGTACATACAAACCTTTGCTGCTGGGAAGAATTTTTAAAAACAAATTTAGCCAAAGAAGAGTCCTTGCTAAAATTCTAATTCATCCCCACACTAAATTAGCTCTTTTTCTGGTTGCTAACTGTCAGAAGCTTTTATTCCATGAGGGCCTGATTCAGTGCCTACTGAGATCACAACCAGAACTTCTCTTCATGGTAGTATGTGTCGGAGCAGATAAAATGGTAGTGTGGTCATGTTAAATGGTAGACGGTGAGTTGGAAATCTACAGTCACTTGTTGCCAGCTTTGGCCATCTTTTAAGGGGGAGGCAGGTCTATGCCAAGCTACAGCAGTGCTCATTAGGGCTGTGTAAAGCTTTGGGTGCCGATTCAATTCAGAGGCGATTCGGCCTGATTCAGTGGCCAAATCTCCAAATCCGAATCGAATCGAGATCAATAAAAGAGTCCAAATTGATTTGAAGCTCTCCAAATCTTCGGAAAAGATTCGGGGAGCTTTGATGATTCAGGCAGTCCCCACCTGCTGCAGCAGGGAGCTGGAGCCAGATTCGGAGCTGGTAAGTAGGGGGCAGGACTATGGGGCAGCACCTGGCGAGTGTGGGCTTTTTTTGAAAGCCCCGGGAGCTGGGATGGGTAGGGAGCCATGGGGGTTGGGGTGGAGGGAGGGGGGTGCAGGGATGGGGCCTGGCAGCACCACTCTCTCATCTCATCTCATCTCATCTCATCTCATCTACCAGTTCCTTCATCCCCTATCTTGCCTCTATTTCAATTGCACCAAGTAACCTCACTATCTAAGCTACCTAAGCAGTTTTCACTGGTACTAGTGGGGTCATGGAAAACAATCCTGGATCTGTTGGCTGCATCTCTGGTTTCAGTCAAGAGAGCCACACATGTTCCTAGCTCCAGTATAGGTCAGCATCCACCTTGTGCTCTATCCTTTATATTCTATCCTTCAAACCTTCCTCTTCTGGGAAGTGCCAGCATTTCCACAAGAGGAAGCATCTTTCATCAGGAGTCCCCTCCGCTCACCATCCTCTGGACAAACAGGCAGAACCTTTTGATGGGGTGGATGTAGCTCACTGCCTCTAAAGGTACTATTTTCCCCTCCATTTCTGTTTCTTTCTTGTTTCTACACACATGAATCAATGCATCTGGCTATATCTTTGAGGTGCCTACTCCAAATGCCCCTACTGTACCCTTTTTCAGGGGTCCTTGTTGTAAGATTTTTGCTTTGACAGGAGGTCTCCTCATCTTTCACATCACCATCATGTTTTAAAAGCTTTGACTTGGTGGTAAGCCAGGACTGCTACCAAAATAAGGCCCTTCTGTTTGGATTTGCAATGACCCTGGGAATCTTCAGCAAGCTCCAAACAATGGTGGCAGTCTACCTAAGAAGGAAAAAACTATCTGGGTATTGAAGGACTGAGCTTCCAAATCATTCTGTCCTTGTTCTCTTGATGTCACAGTAAACACCCCAACATCAAACCTGATCCCAATTCAGAAACTGAAATTTATAGGTCTCGCACTAGACTTTATGCTGACCAGAGCCTACCTTCCTCAAGAGTAATTCCAGTCCTTATTGGACATTGTTATGCAAGTCAAGGACAACTGTCAGGATTTGCTTATCCATCTAAGACATGTGGCCTCCTACACGTATGTGATGCTGCATGCCAGACTACACCTCAGATATGCAGTCATTGTATAATGCTTCTATTTCCAGGAAGATGTATGGATGAGGAGTTAGCCATTCCTCTGCTACTTGGGTCATTCCTTGCTTGATGGAAATACCCAGCTGACATCTGCTGGGATCCTGTTTCTCTCTTCCTGAGATTAGGAGTTGTGATTAACAGTTGGAAGGTGCACATGAAAAACCTTCAAGGACAAGGTCTTTGGCCTTCAAAGGATAGGAAGCTGCTACTGAACACTTTTGGAATTTAAGGTAGTCCACAGAACTAGCCAGGTGTTCCTGGGTCATAATCTGGATTTATGTGCTACAGTATGATCACCACCACTACTACAATGTTTGACAAACTGATAGAGGAATGAAAGCTTCCCTCCTGTGCTGAACAGCAATCAGTTCTGCACCTTTGGGGTTTTCAAAATACCTGAAAGGACAACCATAGAAGGCACCACAAATGGGTGATCAAAGACAAATATCTTCATGGATATTTTCTTGGACCGGGACCATCTGGAGATCAAATTTTTTTTAACAGGAAGGCTCTGGCTACTCTGCAGGGCAGGACTCAACCCTGGGTTCACTGTCCAACAACAGGGAGGATGCAGGAGAGACAGGTACTGATGATGGATCTTTTCTATATGATGCTTTAACTGGACAAGGTTTCCCTGCTGACAGACTCCAAGTTGTCATGGAATTTGACCTAATTCAGATTCACTTACAAGTCATCTTCCCAAAACTTCTCTTCAAAAGCTAAAGCACATCTTCATACTCTTGATGTGAGGACAGCCTTTTTTTTTAACCTGCACAAGACTAATCCATTCTAGAAATCTCCATTGCTATTTGTTCCACAGCAAAAAGCTCAGAAGATGCCATAATTTCTCCCCCAAAGACTAACTACATCGAAGTCTGCTATTTGGTCACTGAAGTAAATTGATCAGAGCTCATTCCATGAGAGCCCAAGTGAATTTGATAGCCTCCTAAGGGATGCCAATGTTTGGCAAAACTACATTGATTGTGTGTATAGGAACCTTTAATGATAATCCATCTCTATGTGGAGCAGGCAATTTGGAGTGACCCATTGTAGAATATGTATAGGTGCAAGCACTCAAAGGTAAGAAAGAAAAGTAATTCTACATCATCATCTGAAGAGAGAAAGAGAAGTTACTATAGTAACTGGAGGGGTTGTTGTTTTTTTGCAGTGCATTGTCTATGAACACATTCCCCAACCCCCGTACTTCTCCTTCCCTTAAGGTGCACTCTGGGATTTCTGGCATTGCCTTTAAGAGGCAACAGAAGAGCAGGAAGTGCACTACTCTATGTTCTCAGCACAGCCAACAAGAAAAGGCAGGGTGCCTGCATACCATATCAGTACTGCTAGGGTAAAAACTTTTCCCAGCCCAAATGTTTAAGGCACGTGTGCACCCCGAGTGGATTGCAGATGGACAGCACACCTCAAAGAATTCAAGTCGCTGGTAAATAACTTCTCTGTCCTTGAGAGTGCTAATGGGGGATGGGACCATACAACAAAACAAACAAAGGAACAAACTATGATTTACTGGAAGAGAAATTGCATCATTTTGACCCAGCTCTACAGCATCTGCATAGCTCATGCACTTCAGCAGTACTTTTTGGTGCTTTTATCTATTAGCATGGCTTTTTGGTGCTTTAGATCAGCTGAAGCACATGAGCTATACAAATGCTGGGCAAGCCAGGTCAAACTTGTGCGTTTTCTCTTCTGGGCATATACTGCGCTTGTGCAGGGGTGGTGAGCTGAAAGTAAAGCTCTGTGTTTTTTTTTTTTTTCCCTTTCCCCCTGTGTCTGTAGCACCCTGTTATTTCTCCTGTATGCAACTGCTGTTTGATTCCTGTAGTCATTAAAAGCAGCATCATAGCCATCCTAATACTGTGTATAATTTCACTTACCAATGTACTCTCCATCCAGACTCCACAGACGAACTGTACAATCTACAGAAGAGGACAACAGCATTTTTTCTTCCTCAATAACTTCTAATCTAACAGAAGACATAATCAGAATAAGTATGCCTAAAGAATTGCATATATTTAGAAAAGTACTACAGTTGCACACTACTTCTATTTTTTGTCATTAAAAACCTATTGTATCACAAATAACTGACAAGTGTTACTTATGACAATGACAAAGTTTAAACATGAAATGTTGCTTCAGTGCCATTAAATTTGAAGGAAGTCTAGATAAGGAAATATCTGACATAGCAGATTTCCAATAGCACGCAAATGCCATAAACTGGACTTCCTATTATTTGAAAAGTAATCCCTGTACAGGAACAACTTGTAAATGTGGAGAATGGATTAGGGATCTTGGTCCATGAGTGAGGCTCCTATGGATTGCACAGTATAAAGAAACTAACCTAATTGTATTTATACAGAAAACATTTGCTTGCAGCTATAAGCATTTTTTTTGCTATGTAATTTACACTGTTCAAATTGGATAAGAAAATACTTACGATACAACCATTTTTACATGTGCTCTCCAGTGGTTCACATCTACAGCAATATTTAAAAATAAATCTGTATTACACATCATTCACAATACACAGATATAAATTAGCACAAAAACACTGCTGAGTGTCAATTCAGATAGGAAATGTTATGTACAGGCCAAGCACAAAACCTGTGTAGCAAGAAAACTGAAGGGCATCCTTGTCTGGTCTACAGTATTTTTTTTTTTTTTTAAGTGCAACAAGGGGTTAAGGAGTTTTTTTGGAAACATTTTGCAAACAGCTCATTTTCTGTTACTATACAGCTTCCACTAAAACACACAGGTGCAAGTATCACTAAATAAAATCCTTTGGGCTGTGTTCTGCTCGCACCTCCTATTGAATTCAAGTTAGAATGCATCTGTGTCAGCAATCAGCATGTCAGTATTTGCCCAGCTGAAATTAATTTTATGTTCTTACTTTTTTTTTTGCTTTAGAAAGCTATGGGGGGGAAGTTATGACTAGGAAATGCACTTCGTTACAAGAATAGTCTAAACATAATAAAATCTGTATGCTCAATAAACAGGAGGGAGAAATATTAATAGGCAGAATTTATGAAAAGGGGTTTGTTTTTAATCCCTTTATCAAGGTCATGTATGCTCCTACACCCAAGCACTAAATAATCTGTATATGTAACAATTTATGTGGGCACACAAAGGTTTTCTGCATGTCAAAACCCAATCCATAACACATACATTTTGGCGGTCCTTGCTTTGGATCCCCAAGGGCATAATCCTTTACATTGTAGACACACACGTATCCACTCTCATCTGCTGCATAAAGAAATGAATCATCGGCAGTGACAGCAATGCTGCTGGTCTGGGATTTCACTCTAGACTGGGACCAACATTAATGCAGGCTGGATTGTTAGCTAATAATTCACACTGGATGATAATATACTATTGATCATTTTAATACTAATAAATTACAAAGGAAATAAATTACAACATACAGATGGCTATAACAAATCCAAAAGAGCAAATATATAGTTCTCAAACAAATCACATTTCTTCCACTATAGAAAATTTATCAAACTCCAAGAACTGTGCCAAACTTAGATCTACATAAGCTTGCAAAAGCCTTTGGCCAAACTTACAGGTATAAAACTCGCTGCAAGTGGAACTGCACTGAACAGACTCCAGAAGTTAAGAGAACCTGGAAAAAAACAAGCAAAATGGGCAAAATTACTTCTTAAAAGCAATTTTAAAAGGTTATTAGGAAAATACACATACAGGGGCTGAATTCAGACAGCAAGGCAAGCATTTTAAAAAGGACATGGTGAATTTAGAGAAGGTCCAGGAGGCACATGACAAAAAAAGTCGTTCAAAAAGAGGTTGAAAGAAGTGTAGGCACGATCAGCTTGCAGAAAAGGGGAGAGGGGACATGATAGCAGTATTCAAATACTTGAAGGGGTGCCATCAAGATGGAAAATACCTTCTCTCTTGCTTCGGAGGAGGTCACGGACCAATGGTTTGAAGTTTCAGCAAAGTCAGTTTATATTGGATATCCAGAAAAACTTCATTATTAGAACCATGCGACAGAGAAATAGACTGCCTAGGGAAGTTGTGGACTCTCTATCACTGGAGGTGTTCAAGAACAGGTTAGACAGCCACTAGTCGGGGATGATCCAGGTGTAGCTATGCCTATGTTCTACGATAGATATTTCCCCTGCTTCTGGGCATTGCTGGTTGCCATGTGGGGACACTGCTACATGTCAAGGTTTGAGGGTGTTTTTGTTTTGTTACAACCAGCTTTCTTGGACTCCTTTCCCCCTCATACTAGCCTCCCAGGGGAGCCTGCCCATCAGTTCCCTGAATAAGTGGAAATCTGCTTTTCTGAAGTCCAGGGTCCTTACTTTGCTGCTCTTCTGCCTTCCTTTCTTCAGGATCCTGAACCCAATCACTTTGTGGTCACTGCTGCCCAGGTTGCCATCCACTACTACATTCCTCACAAATTCTTCCCTGTTTCTGAGCAGCAAGTCAAAAAGAGTATGGCTCCTAGTTGGCCTCTCCAACATCAGGAAGTTGTCCCCAGTGCTCTCCAAAAACTTCCTGGATTGCCCATGCACTGCTGTATTGCCCTCCCAGCAGATTTTGGGGTAATTTGAAGTCCTATATGAGAACCAGGTCTTGTGATGTAGAAACTTCTGCTAGCTGTTTGAAGAAAGTCTCATCCTCCTTGTGGATGAGGAAGATGTGGAAACTTTCTTCTGTTTTTTCTTTTTCTTCTGGGGGTGGGGAGGGACAGGGCTTGGTTTTCTTTTCTTTAAAGCCTTCCTCAGAGGCATTGGATGTTGGCTGCAGCCGCTGGTGACGCGTAGGGGGTGCACGCGGTTGCATGTGCACCCTCTAAGATTGGCGGTGCACCCCCTGTGAAAACCACTGCCGGTGGCACCTGCAGGCAGCTGCTGCTCACCACTAACACCACCCCCCTATGTGGGCGGTCCCCCATTGCCATTACCTGTGGGTGATCACCATGACCCCCCAGCCTCAAAGGACGTGGCGTTCATGCCTACAGCCAAGGCTGGGGATTTTGGACTGGGGTGTGCCAGTGCTCCTGCTGGGACTTAAAGCCACAGTTTTCTGTCTAGAGGGTTTTGCCCTTCTGCTCAGGGTCAAACCAGGCACCACACATGGTGTCAGGAAGGAATTTTACCCCATGGTCAGATTGGTATGGACTCTGGGGGTTTGCCTTCCTCTAGCAGGGGAGATGGCCCTCTTCCTGGGATCTCTTAAACATATATTAACAACCTCTGCAGCAGCAGGACATTGGCTGCCATGGTCCCTCTCCTTTACCTGTGTCAAGTTATGGTGTTATGTCTGGAGTTGCATCAGGGTTGACTGTAGTTTCATTAACTGGTTAGACAATGGATTTGTATAGGATGGTTTGGATATGGATGATCCTGCCTCAGGCAGGGGGTTGGACTAGACCTCTGGAGGTCCCCTTCCAGCTCTACTTCTCTATGGGCACTTTTACATGTGCTCCAGGGGTGGGAAAGTGGGGGGTGCTTTAATTAGACTGGCTCTAAAAGCCAGTCTAATTAAAGCTTTGAACTAAAGCTCATTCAACCTGCACCACCCCCACCTTCATTTTTAAGTGTGGAGACACTACTGCACGAGACACGGGAGGCTGCTGGAGTGCAGTAATTACCACACCCCAGCAGACTCGTAACTACAGCGCGTCAGACCAGCCTCTGTGCTCATGTACAGGCACCCTCTGATTCTATGCTCCTAAACTGGGTTTCTGAATCACTCGTAGTCCACAAAGCAATTGCTAGAGGCCTGTGGCTACTTGACTGTTCACATAATTATGCCTCTGCCTTCTCATTTCCAGCTATACATGGATACTTGACTTCTAATTCAGAACTTTCCCAATATTACTTTTCCATATAAATGATTACTGTAATTGCCTGCAATTACAAAAAGGATAGGAGTGTGGAATCAGAAAAAAAATAAATGCCTTAAACTTTGATCATACGAGTTATAAGATGACATAACTGCTTTGTGGGGAATTGTTGGCTCTGCATAGTAGAACAGATAAGGGAAAGTGTTTGTTCTTTGTAACGCCTCTGCAACTGCTTCGCTCACCGCGGCCTTGAAGATAGCGGAAAAAAAGTATGTAAAACTCTGATTTCCAGGTGCAAGAAGGGAGTGTTCCCCCCCATTTCTTGCTTTGTGAACTAACCTCGTCTCCCCCATGGTTCCCATCCTGATAACAGCCAAGCAGTAATGAGGTAGTGTTTGTAGCTGCTTTTTTCTAGCAAACTCAACTATATGATCACGTAAGTTGTAAGCAACTGTTAAAAAGTATATATGCCTCCTGATTTTACTCTTGGGGGGGAAACCCCTTCCAAGTGCTTGGAAAATCCATGTCACTTTGGAGTCCCCCCTACAGCTGTAGTTTCATTTAAATAAAAGCTTCTGCTGACCTAACCCAAAAGTATGCTGCGTGTGTTTCCACGACAGGAGGCATCAATTAAACCAGTGGGGGGCAACCTTTTGGCATGCTGCAAACCCCTACACCTTCCCTGCCTGATCTGCTGCTCTGCTTTTCACTCCTTGCCCTATCTGCTACTGTGCTGCCTGTTCCCTCACCAATCTGTTGCCTGCCATACAGAAAGGCTGTCCATGCCACAGGTTGGCCACCCTGAATTAGACATTCCTTATGGGAAAAAAGGTACAAAAGAGAATCTGATCATAGATTTCTCTTCAGCTCTACTCCCAGACAGACCCCTGGCACTGGGATTTCTGCAGAGGTCCTCATGGTTATGCTGCACAATACAACTACAGCCAATACCAACAGATCTAGAGTAATGGGCTCTAAAGAGAAATCTGCTTTACTCTCTCCAGCTGGAACACCCGCTGGAACTAAAAGGGGATTTGTTATGATGCTAAACCAGGGAATAATCATCTTTTGACCTTTTTCTGGAAAACTGTAATATAGTCTATTCAAAATAAAACCCAAAAAAGGAATCATTTGCGAAAACGTTATCCCTTGGAGCTGCACCACACTGCAGTGTGAACTACAGTTCTTGACTCCTACCTTGAGGCCCATTGGAAATGAGAGATGCTGCTGTACATCTTAACTTCACTGCACGAGTCCTCAAAAATATGACATGTTTAACACTTGGGTCTACAGCTGAGGATGGAAAGAGATTAAGATTTAAGCAAGCTGACAAAGAACAAATGAATCTTATTAAACATCCCTCAATTGCTCTCCAGTTGATGGATAAATTCACAACAAATAGGATTATGATGCATCAGCAAGTTGCCTCTCCTGCTTCCCACTCCCACTGTATTTAGAGTTGCAGCTATTACATTTCCACTTCTCTTTCTCTAGGTAGATGTAATGTTCAACTCTATCCATTAACTGTCTGTGTTCCTTTTAAGAAATAGTTAAGCTCCCAGAGTGCTGACAATAAATATATCAGATGGTTTTTATTAAAGCTTGTAAGAAAAACCATAAATGGAAAAACATTCCATTGGAAAATGCATTTCCACTGAAATTCAGAGTTTTGAAAAATTGCATCTATTTTGATAAAATTTAGTTCTGGGGGGGGAAAGAGGAGCGATACCCTAACAAGTTGGAGTGTCCCAGTTTGACATTTATAGAATAAAGCATTCCAATCTTTTCTTTCAAAACAACTTTTCATTTTGCCAAGTTTAGAATTTATTATAAACATTTAAAAATATTTTACATTAACAAACCATTTGAACATATCTCTAGCATGAGACAATTTCTGAATTTTCTCGTGCAGACAACGTCAACTTTTTTGGAGGGGGAAGTGGGGGGAGGGTCTCAGTTCAAACTGGAACAAGAACAAATTGTGAAGAAGCAAGCGAACAGAGACAGAAAACAGGGCAGTTTGCAAGCAGTTCACTGGGAGAAAGAGAAGGAAGGGGAAGAGGAAGTGAAGCCAGGCACTAGATATTGCTCCTGAAATGTAAGGGAGGCACGGTTGCCTGTGTGTTTGGCAGCTGAGTGTGTGTTTGGGTACCTGCTCTGAGCAGCTGGGAGTGCTGACAGCTGGGCAATTGCTGCCTGTGCCTGTCAAAAGTCCTAAAGGGACTGATCGAGTCCAGACCCAGGAGGGTTTAAAAGGAGACTCCTTGAGCAACGGGGGCAGTAAACAGGGCAGTTTGCAAGTCAGTTTGCACCTCATCCTCTTTGAAGGGGAGCCTTTAAGACAGACCTTGGGCTGGATCCAGCTCACCGGGCAATTCCATCTGGCCCGCGGGGGCCCTCCGTAAGCCACAAGAATTATCACAGGCCCTGGCCCTGAGCTGCCCCTCTGAAAGCCAGCACCTCCATGTAAGAAGTGCCTCTGGAGCAGTGAACAGGCCAGCTTACAGGGGAGTTAACTAGGGAAAGTCCACTTGGAGAGAGGAGCAGAGAGAGAGAGGAGGCATATATATATGCGACCCAGAGAGATGGCTGGAAGACATGGCAATGCCAGAGCCACTGGCACTGCCAGCTCTTCTGCTTGCACCTGTGAGGTGTCTGTCCAAGCAAGACCACTCACTGTCAAGGCTTCCACCTAGGCTCTAGTTTGGTTTTGTGGAGACTGCAACTGGCAGGTTCCTTCCAATGACAGCCGGGTGGGGGAGTGCCTGCAATGTGAGCAGTGCCTCCTACAGGAGGGGGTGGCGAGGCTCCAAAGCATCCTCCACCATGAGGACTTCATTGATTCTATGCTGGAGGAAACTTGTAGGACAGTGGAGGAAGGAATGCCAGAGACAGCGCTGGAGAAGGACGACGACATGGACTCCCAGGAGAGGCCTTCTCATTCAACTGGGGAGGCCTTCTCATTCCTCCTGAGAAAATAGGGCAATCAGCTAGTTACCTCAGGTGTCTGTACATGAATGCACAGAGCCGGGAAAACAAGCAGGAAGAAAGGGAAGTCCTTGCAGAGTCACAGAACTATGATGTGATTGGAAGAACAGAGACTTGGTGAGGGCTCACATGACTGGAGCACTGTCATGGATGGGTACAAACTGTTCAGGAAGGACAGGCAGGGGAGAAGAGGAGGAGGAGTTGCACTTTATCTAAAAGACATATGATTGCTCTGAGCTCCAGTATGAAACTGGAAATAGGCCTGTTGAAAGTCTCTGGGTTATGGGGGAAAGCAACAAGGGTGATGTGATAGCTGCCTACTAGAGACCACCAGACCAGGAGAATAAGGTGAATGAGGCTTTCTTCAAACAGCTAGCAGAAGTTTCTATATCACAAGACCTGGTTCTCATGTAGGACTTCAAATTACCCCAAAATCTGCTGGGAGGGCAATACAGCAGTGCACGGGCAATCCAGGAAGTTTTTGGAGAGCACTGGGGACAACTTCCGATGTTGGAGAGGCCAACTAGGAGCCATACTCTTTTTGACTTGCTGCTCAGAAACAGGGAAGAATTGATGGGAAATGTAGTAGTGGATGGCAACCTGGGCAGCATGGGAAATGTATTAGTGGATGGCAACCTGGGCAGCAGTGACCACAAAGTAATTGAGTTCAGGATCCTGAGGAAAGAAAGGAAGAAGAGCAGCAGGGTAAGGACCCTGGACTTCAGAAAAGCAGACTTCCACTTACTCAGGGAACTGATGGGCAGGATCCCCTGGGAGGCTAGTATGAGGGGGAAAGGAGTCCAAGAAAGCTGGCTGTACCTTAAAGAAACCTTTCTGAGGTTGTCGGAATGAACCATCCTGATGCACCAGAAGAGTAACAAATGTGTCAGAAGATCAGCTTGACTTAGCAGGGAAATCTTCAATGAGCTAAAACACAAAAAGGAAACTTGGCAAACAACTAGGGAGGGGCATAAGAGTATTGCTTGGGCATGCAGGGATTAAATCAGGAAGGCCAAAGTGCAACTGGAGTTTCCGCTAGCAAGGGATGTGAAGGGTTTCTACAAGTATGTCAGCAACAAGAGGAAGATAAGGGAAAATGTAGGTCCCTTACTGAATGTTGGAGGCTACCCAGTGATGGATAATGCAGAAAGGCTTAAGTATTCAATGCCTTTTTTACATCAGTCTTCACAGGTAAGATCAACTCCCAGACCACTGTACCTGGCAGCATAGTTTGGGGAGGAGGCGAGCAGCCAACAATCGTGAAAGGACAAGTTAGAGAACTATTTAGAAAAGCTGGATGTGTACAAGTCCATGGAGCTAGATACAACACACCCAAGGGTGCTGAGGGAGTTGGCCAATGTGATAGGTCCTGGATGACTGGAAAAGGGCAAATATAGTGCCCATCTTTGAGAGGAAAGGAAGAGGATCTGGGGAACTACAGATCGATCGGCTTCACCTCAGTCCCTGGAAAAATCATGGAGCAGGTCCTCAAGGAGACAGTGATGAGGAACAGCATGGATTCACCAAAGGCAAGTCAGGCCTGACCAACCTGATTGCCTTCTATGACAAGATGACTAGCTCTGGATGCAGGGAGAGATGATATATATCTTGACTTTAGCAAGGCTTTTGATATCATCTCCCACAATATTCTCACAAGGAAGCTAAGGAAGTACAGGTTGGATGACTGGACTGTATGATGGATAGAAAGCTGGCTGAATCATCAGGCTCAATGGCTCAATGTCTAGTTGGCAGCTGGTATCAAGTGGAGTGCCCCAGGGGCTGGTCTTGGGGCCAGTTTTATTTGATATCTTTACCAACAATTTGGAAGATGGGATGGAGTGCACCATCAGCAAGATGACATGAAGCTGGGGGAGAAGTAAATATGCTGGAGGGTAGGGCTAGGATTCAGAGAGACCTCAACAAGTTGAAGGATTAGGCCAAAAGAAATATCATGAAGTTCAATAAGGACAAATACAAAGTCCTGCATCTAGGACAGAACTATCCCATGCTCCGGTACAGGCTAGGGTCTGACTGGCTAAGCAGCAGCTTCGTAGAAAAGGTCCTGGGGGTTACAGTGGACAAGAAGCTGAATATGAGTCAACAATGTGCCCTTGCTGCCAAGAAGGCCAACAGCATACTTGGCTGCATTAGTAGGAGTGTTGCCAGCAGATGAAGGGCAGTGATACTTCCCCTCTATTCAGCACTGGTGAGGCAACATCTGGAGTACTGTGTTCTGTTTTGGGCTCCCCACTACAGAAAGGATGTGGACAAATTGAAAAGAGTCCAGGGGAGGGCAAAAAAAAAAAGTGGTTAGCGGGCTGGGGCACACGACTTCTGAGGAGAGGCTGGGGGAACTGGGTTTATTTAGTCTGGAGAAGAGAAGCCTGAGAAGGGGATTTAATAGCAGCCTTCAGCTACCTGAAGTGGGGTTCAAAAGAGGTGGCAGATGACAGAACAAGCAACAATGCTCTCAAGCTGCAGCAAGGGAAGTTTAGGTTAGCTATTAGGAAAAACTCTCTCACTAGGAGGATGGTGAAGCACTGGAACAGGTTACCCAGAGAGGTTGTGCAATCTCCATCCTTAGAGGTTTTTAAGACCCAGGTAGACAAAGCCTTGGCTGGGATGATATAGTTGGGGTGGTCCTGTTTTGAGCAAGAGGTTGGACAAGATGACTTCCTGAAGTCCCTTCCAACCCTAATTTTCTATGATTTTAAGTAGGATTTCTGTTCCCTCTTCAGCTCTACCATTTGTACTGCATACAGTGCTAGAGTGTGGAAACCTAGAGTGAAATGTATTTCACTGGTCAGCTCTTTGGGACAGAAACCATTTTTGTGTTCTGGATTATACAGCACTAGCCCAATAGGGTTACCATCTATGACTGAGACTTACAGGCACAAGACTTTACTCATGAGCCGAAACTAAATATCTGTTTTGAAATTTTTAGTTATGAAAACTGAAACTGATTATTATGTTGACTCCTAACAGCCTCCACAAAGTTCTCCTTTTCTTGTGCCACCCATTTGTCCAATTATTAGCATAGCTGTAAAACAACAGAACCCCTGGGTGCCAGTGCCAGGACAATGAAAAAACAATATAAAGATGATGTATTTGGC